TTTTTAAGATAATTACATCATAGGTGTTTATATTTTGTAGCACATCATTAAATATTGAGATAACATAGTCTACCAATTTCTTTTAAAATGTGGTTGCTGCTCTTTTTCAAATTTGCTTATAATGTGTAAATGAGAAAAAATAAAGGGGCCATGGTCTTGAAGTGCTTTTTTGTGTGTTTTGTCAGCCTTTGTTGAAAAAAAAAACTGTCCATTTAGCAGGGGTTAGAAAAAGTAATGTGTTATAGAAGGAAATAACTTTTTTTAAAACAATGTTTCCCATTCATGAGAAAGAACATGAGACATTTGAACACTTGATATCCAGCTTAGAGAAAATGGCAATGATTAAAAGCCACGTTTGCAGAGAAGAGAAGGTGAGGAGATGAATGCATTGCAGAATGAATGGATTTGCTGAATAACCAAATTGCGATAACAGTTCTCCTCCTTAGCAGACATCATAGGATATTTCCAGCTAAAAAATGTTTTGAGTCACAGGTAAGTTCAAATTCTTATTGAGAAACTGTCAGACCTTGTTTTAAACCCTGATGGTGGCCTGATCTCTAAAGCTCTTTCACTCCTATTGCTAATTATCCGACAAGAGATATAGAAAGAGTCATTTCTTAGGATAATACAATGATCAGCTTGACTCAATGAGAGGCCACTTGTCAAAGTGGATAGAGTGTATGACTTGGAATCAGGCATGGGTTCAAATCTTACCCTTGATGTTTCTCAGTTGTGTGACCATGAGTAAGTCAGTAAAGCTCTCAATGCTTCAGGCAAGGCAGTTGTCTAGGACTTAGGGGTGGACTGGAGCCAGTTTGTACAGGACTGAGAGCCAACCGGTAAATTTTCACCGTGGGCACTTACACTTCAGAAATCAGGTGTTAATTGTCTAGACTTAAGAAAATGATGGAGAAAACATTAACTTAAAAGTGTGTGGTTTTGGAAAGCAGGCTGTTAAACATTGAGCAACCTTACTCTGAGTAAGTTGCTGACTGCTGAGTGGCTGACCTGCATAGGTATATGGATTTCAAGTTTCAATATCACTGAAATCACAGGTCTAGAGCACCGGACCCTGTCCCTCCCCATGCCAAAAAAAGAAAGAAGGAAGGAAGGAAAAAAAGAAAAAGAAAGAGAGAGACAGAGAGAAAGAAAGAAAAAGAAAGAAAGAAAATGGTTTGACTCAGTATTTAGATTAAAAAACCACAGACTTCAAGTGCTCCAAGTGGGAAAGTCTATTTCAAAGCTGCATTTCTGGAAAACTAATTATGCTGTTTTTTGGTTATTGTTATTTCACCTTTTCAGAGTCTTTCTAGAGAAGGGCATCTAAAAAGGGAGAGAAACAGGAATTGCTCATATGCAGTTTGAAGTGCCCGGCTATTCAATACAACCAGTTAGCATCTCTGAGTTTGCTAAAGGGCTCGGTTCACCTTCGTCATTGATCCTTCTGTTGTGAGTATTCATTTACCATTCTGACATAATCTAGGGCTGCGCCGCATGATGTTGATGATACTTTTGTCAACGTGAAGAATGCAGTGCTATTGTTGCAGAAATCGTATAAGAAACAGAGACCTTAATATGTACCATCTGTTTTACAAAAAGGCTCAATGTGGTAATGCATTAGCAATACCAGAAGCAATATCTCTAAGACATGAAATGAACATATGTTGTCTAAGAGCCTTCAGGCTGACATTGAAAAAGAGAAAAGATAGTACTTCAAGGCAAATATTGTCCCAATAGAAAGACTGCCAGAACCAATATGGCTCAGCCTATTGACAAGTCTCTGGTGAACAGTATCATGTAAAGATTTTTACATTGTTATGGACTATACAGCTCTCTTCTCCATCTTTTCAGCTTAGGGAAAAGAGGAGAAAACACCTTCTTTGTTTCTATGGCTAATCCTCTGCTTCAGAGCAACCGATGTTGTCAGATGAAGTCACGCTGTCCAATAGCACTGATTAAATAATTATATTTTTAAAAAATATATGTAGTTGAACTGATACTGCCTTGTGAACACTGTCTGTTTTAAAGTGTGGCAGAAACCTAAAGCATGAGTTGAAAGGTAAAAGAAGAGTTCTTTTTATTTTTTAATTTAATATTAGAATGCTTGAATGCGATTATGTACTAATAGCTGTCTATATGTTCAAGTAAAATGGGACTGAAGGAAGACAAATGATTGCCGAAATTATGTCTGGATGAAATTTAGTTTTCGAAGCTAGAGGAACAAAGCAAATTCTATCAACGCATCTCTCTTTCTCTATATCTATGCCTACACATATACATATATATATATATACATGTTTGTGTATACCAACATACTCTATCNACAAAGCAAATTCTATCAACGCATCTCTCTTTCTCTATATCTATGCCTACACATATACATACATATATATATATATATACATGTTTGTGTATACCAACATACTCTATATATTAATATACCAGTGAAATCCTGCCTCAGACACTTAATAGCTCTGTGATATTAAGAAAGTCATTTAAATCTCTGTTTTCTCAATTGTAAGATTGGGATAATAATAGCACTGACCTTCCCAAAGTTATTGTGAAGATCAAATGAGATTATCTTTGTAAAGTGCTCAGCACAGTGCCTGGCACATTATAATCACTACATAAATGGTAGCTATAATAATTATTATTATTATATTCACAGGTCTAGATAATATATATGCATAAATATAAATATTTCTGGTGAGGATTTTTGGAACTAAAGCCGATCCACAGTTCTTCATTTTACCATTTTTGAGTTTTCTGACTCAATGAGAAATTAAGTGACTTGCCTGGAGTCATATAGCTAGGAGGTGGTAGAGATGGGGCTTGAACCAGATTTTCCTGACTTCAAGGCTGGTCCTGTCTCCATTTTACTATACTGTCTTTTTAGCTATTTCACTCCTAAGGTTGAATGTTATTTTGGGTTAGACTGTATACCTTNATACTGTCTTTTTAGCTATTTCACTCCTAAGGTTGAATGTTATTTTGGGTTAGACTGTATATATCAAGG